CGAAATAAAAGAAAAATCGATTTTTCGTGACTGTCTTCCGATTCTCGACACTCAGAAAATCACTCTTAAGCTTTAAAATAAACTAATTGGGGACACTACACACTACAAGTTAAAAGATATCTTAGCCACATAGAATTAACATTATTTACAATTTAATTCGGGAAAACCTTACTAAATAAACAACTATATTAATGAAATATGTGAACCTAGTTTGATACAAGAATTTTAAAGATATCAAATATATATGTCTGAATCTCTGAAAACCATGTCAAATTTAGGGCAAAACTTTTTGGCCTGCCTGCCGGGATAACCGGCAGGGAGGCCTTTGATGCCCTGGAAAACCCATGGCGGTTTCCCGATGGAGCAGACAGTCCAGGTTCCCAGCTACTAGCCGATACCAAGCGGAGTCCCCAGGGTCTAACCCCAGGGGGTGGAGTGGGTCACAGAGAAAGGCATTTTTGTCAGTTGAGCGGTTTTCTTTACAGGACGAGCCTTGGCCACCTACGTCCTGCAGCCTTAGGGGCTGGCAGCCAGCTAGCCAGTCACAAGCAAGGTGGGTGAGTAGGCTGTTTATTGACAGACTACCTGTGATTGATTGAGTGAAAAAGCCTGTGTATTTTCTTTAGCACGGTTTACATAAATCCAGACATGTATTGGGGCAGAATGTTTTGGGGTGGCTCTAGTTTAGCTCTTGTTGCCCCCAACTGGTTGTGGGTGACACTCCGAGGATGCCGGTGCATGCTGGAAGATTTTCCAGGCATTCTGTGCCAATATATGTCTAAATTTATGAAAACGGCGTCAAATTTGGGCCAAACTTTTGCGGCGCTTGAAAACGCAAGGGGCTTTCGTCGTAAAGGGCTAGGTCAGAGAACCCAGGTGCCTGGCTACAAGTTGATTCCAAGCTGGAGCTCCAGGGCCTAACCCCAGGGAGTAGGGTGGGCCACAGAGACAGGCATTGTGTCAGTTGAACTGGTCATTTTCTTTGCACGACAAACCTTGGGGGCTGGCAGCCACCCAGCCACACGCAAGCAAGGTCTGTGATTGACTGAGTGAAAAAGCCTGCGTATTTTCTTAGAAGAGTTTTTGGTTTTCACGTTTTCACGTTTTCACACATGTCAGGTTATCACGCTTTTCATAAATCCAGACACATATATATAAAATGTAAAATTTATAAGTGACATTTTAGCCACGTACCTGACTTTAACTTCAATCTGCACATCCACGTTGTAGATGACCTCACCTTTTATCTCCAAACCAAAAAACCGGTCTTTGATGATTTGCTTACCATCCTTATCCTTTTCAGTAAACACTCCCATTGATACTATAACTTCCGCGTCAATTTTGAACGTCTGTATGACAGTTATGTAACCCTTGCCATCAGGAAGCTACAAATAAAACAAAAGCAACCAATCAATCTGGTTCGGTCTGTACGAATCATGAAGGCAGGCCAGCCATCTGGCAATCCGGTCGTTCAGTTGGCTAGTCGGCAAGTCTTCAGGTTGGATAAATATTGCCAGCTCGGAGGTACAGTCAATCAATCAATCAATCAATCAATCAAGCAGTCAGTCAGTCAGTCACTCAGTCCGTCTGTCAGTCAGTCAGTCAGTCTTTCATTCGGTCAGTCAGTAAGTCGGTCAGTCAGTCAAGCAGACAGGAAGTCAATCAGTACGGCTCTGATGGTTAAGTCGCTCAGCTCAGTCAGATTATCTTTCGACTCACTGACTGTTTCGTGGACATTGTCCAATTCATATTTTTTGGACACTTCGGCGTTAACTTTTTACTGACTCACCGATAATGTCTTTGGCACGGAATAAGTCCTCGTTAATCTATATGTGTCCTTGTCGATATCCCTCTTGTGCCTTCTGTGTTCTTTGTGCAGTTGATCTAGACTTGCGATGGTAACAGCTGTACCATTTAAAACAGATTGAACTGGAAGAACCTCAATCAGTAAAAAATCCCCAGTCACGTGTGATTCCACCACCTACAAGCAATAGGAAATGGTTAAGACACGTGCCAAAAATCCACTCCAATCTCTAATCTCAAACATGTCAAACTCTACAAAACATAAGCAGTGAAACATTTTCATACAGTAATAATTCATACCTCGCTTAGCGTTCCTGGGTTAGCGTTAACCAGCTTCCGAACAACCCGACCTGATTACAAGTTTACCTGGTTGAGCCCGCGATCTAAACGAAAAACAGCACTCGGTCAGCAAACAACTTCAAGAGCTCGAAACTTGAGCCAGCGATATGGTCTCGTGATACAGGTCAGAGGATACCTTGCCTTGACAAGTGCCAATTGACCATAGAATGGATGTCCAATATCAAAGAAGTACGCAATCAACCAAGGCAGTATGGCCGCCATGTTGCGCGACTCCGTCGGCGCCGTCGTCATTGTTCGTACCCTCCCATGGGCGATACCGCTAACCATAAAAACCACGAGAAAATCAATTCATGGGTTTCCTTTCTTTCCTATATGAGTATGGTGACTATATTGCGGACTCAAGTTCAGAGCTCATCGAGGTCAAGTGTATTTTTTTAAGTTGACCGCTGTCCAAGTATTGTTTTTTCTTTTTTTTTCGATTGGATCGCGTGCCCAAGCCAGGTTAACTTACTGTTATTAGGGCTCGGTTGTTCGGAAGCCGGTTAGCGATGACCCAGGATTAAAAGTTAACCAAAGGTTAATTTTCTTTGGTATAAAAATGTTTTTTCACCGCTCGTGTTTTGTGTAGTTTGAAATTATTCAAACTCAAAACGAGTAGCAAAACGATATAAACTCACCGCATAGTTACAAAGCTCAAATCAATATTATCGGTTATCCTGGGTTAGCTTAATCGGGCTTTGAACGACCCAGCCTGGGAGTTCCGCTTTTAGGCTTGGTTAAGTAAAGTTCTTATCTTAAGACCAAGAAGCATACTCTAGATGGAAAATTAAAGGCACCCTTTAAACCATCTTGATTTTGTCAGTCCGTTTACGCCATTTGTAAAGTTTTATTATTAGTTCTGACTAGATTTGTAAATCATTGTGCCTTTTGTGTGAGCTGTGACTTGATACGTGGGATAGCTTAAGTTTCAGTTATCGCATCAAGATGTTTACTTTTTATTTCTTCTAAATTCAGGTAGAAAAAGGTTACCAACCTTTGCGATAAAGGGATTACTGCTCCTTCCTATGATGGAATCGTTTACTGATATCTGTTGTTTTTCACTGTCAGGTTCAGTTATTATTAATCTATAACTGTTATCACCACCGGTACAGACCACGTCACTGTCAGATTTCAAATTTTGCAGACGAGGTTTAAATCTAACAGAAACAAGAAAAAAAACACTTTACTGTAATATGGGTTATTGAACAAGTGTGAGGCCAAGATGGTTGGTGTTTGTTTTAACATAGTTCATTATATGGCTACGCTGAGCGGGCAAGATGAATCAGATCCTGCGCTGTGATTGGCTATCCAAGAGCGCAAAATGCCGCTCGGGATTACGCGCTGTGTCCCTCAAGGAAAATTTGTTCTTTATCCCATATAATAAATCCTTCATTGAGTAAGCTTGTTCGGTTAAGATGGCTAGATGTTGGCCATGTTATTTTTTCCCAATAGAAACGCCATTCATTACTTCCAAACTTGATTTATTCTAACTTTCATTACTTGGCCGGCCCCTAGCTTGATCAAGTTAATTTTGACAGTTCTGTAACACATAAAGACAATATCCCATAGATTTATTGCCTACTATCAACTTAACTTTCAGAAGTAAGTGTCCCCTATTCACCGACCCGTTGTGCTCTTACCTGTGTATCCAGGTAGAGTTCTCTGTGCACCTCTCAAGTTCTGCTTCCATGAGCACCATATCTGAAATTTGATTGACTCTAACCACATTCTCTATAAATCCATGACTCTGGGCAGATACCACTACATCCCCTGGTCTAACATTTACTGCGTGATCTTTGCGTATCACCAGAAACTGAGAGGTCACTAAATCATCGTCCACTTTGTAAATGTGTCCTACGCACTTGAAAACTGACGTGTCTAAAAGTCAAATTCAAGATGAATTGATCAACAGATCGATAAAATACAGAATGTTTCCATTTAATTCTATCCGACTTTCTCGGACAATTCCATAGAAACGTTGCTTTATTTGCAAGCTTCTTAAACGCAATGAGGATACAGATCCAAAGCAGCCTCAATTAGGTAACTAGCAAACAATCTCAGATTGCGTGGCTTTTAAATCAGATGTAGTTAGAAATAATTAAGTGATACTTTCAATGAACTAACAAATGAAAGAAAATCCTGGCCCAGTGAACGGTCTGTAATTGCTTTACTTTAAAGTGAAATTTAAAAAAAGAATCCCGCTGTGAGCCCAGTAAATAAATTCCCTACAAATAGAACGATAAAATGTATCCAAACTTGTTAAAGAAAATTTGTTGTATTGAATACATTTAAGACTCACTCGCAGGTAACACATGAAGAACAGTGTTGATCAGTTGAATTTTTCCATCAATTAGACCATACAAATCATCTAAGTTTGGTTCTTCATCCAGCGTCGAGTCATCGACCAGGCGAATAGGAGAAACTTTCTGAGTAAAATCGGCATATTGAATGACGTCCTCAATCTTGGAGGGTGTTCCAATTATTATTGTGTATGGCCCTGTAGATTGTGAAAAAATCAACATTATTCTTTGTCTCAAAAGAACCCAAGGCTCCAGAAGATAAAAAAAAAGGTTCCATAAATTGCTTCAAGGAACAAAAGTCAAAAATTGTGTCAAGGCTCCAAGGTGATAACACCCTTGAGCTCTGACTCTCTGGGTCCGATTCTATCTCATGAGCTCCGGGATTTCAAGGAGCCTCTTCCCTTAAAATATTGAAGCCATTAACCCTAGAGTGATGGGTGCTAAGGTCTGTTAATAGTTGAGAATAACAGCTAATAACGGATTCTCGTAATGTGCACGTGTAAATCTTACCCGTGTTTGTGGTGTCAGTAACTTTGTGCATCACACCGCCCGCTTGCGCGCTAGATAACACGTCACCAGCTTTGATTCCCAGATCTCTAGGGGCAACAAACACCGACGTCGCATCGTCTTGACCAGGAAGGAGGACGGGACAGCTGTAGATGATGGCGGTGTTGGGATCGATGACTTTTACGTTACTCTTTAATAGGGTGCTGTTTATTCGATTTGGATCTGTGTAATCCACTTGAACAAAGCCATGAGGACAACGAGTTTCATTCCATGCTCTGCATCTGCCCTTTTCCTATAAAGATATCAACAGACCTTCTTTATCGAAGACAATTAGCTTATTTGTGAAAAATTCAAAGTCTTGCAAGACTAAAGCTTCAGTCAAATATTTAAGCGACTGGGAATATTGTGGCTGCCCTTGTAGGGATTCTAATCCTAACTTTATTTACAAATGGCCGGTAGCTTTCCATCTACAGGAATTTAGAGTTACGTAAACCTGTGCGGAAGTGTAACTAACTCTAGAATCATGTGCGGACACCCCGTAGGATCACAACCTTAGCTTGTCGAGGTCGGGGGGCTTGTGCGTCTCAATGAACCTGAGAGCTATGCCAGCGGGCGATTCATCTCCTGGTAGGGCCACCTAAGCCGGACAGGTCAAAGGATAGAGGCCTGACAAAAAGTGATCCAATGGACCTCGAGGTTTGGGGGTTGGGCACAGGGTTAATAACCCAGTCTCATAAAAAGGTTTTTGTTACGGAAACAGTAGCAAAGGAAACTGTATATACTGGGTGTGCGGGCCTCCCAGAACATCGGTAGATACTCGTATGAATGTCAGTTGTGGAAGCCGAAAGGAAGTCACTGGCAGGATAATGGAAGTTCTGAACGCCAAGTGCAAGACCAAGATAGGATTCTGGAATCTGAGAACAATGTATCACACTGAGAAACTGGCGCAAGTTACATCAGAGATGAGACGTTACAGCTTACACAGTACTGTACTCGGGAAGGGACCGTGAACCGTGAAGAGAAAGGCGAGAGCAGACAAACGAGAGCGTCGAAAAACTGAGGATAAATGAAAGCAAAAGGCATACGATAGAACCCCTTCACAATATTAGAAGATCCTGACTTTGCCGACGATCTATCTGGCTTTGATCTCCCACAGCCACCAACACATGCAGGTCTGAAGATCAGCTAGAAGAAGATTGAGCTGATGATTTAAAACATCACAAATCCTCCACCAATCCGAGTGAACGGAGAGGATCTCCCAACAAACGAGGAGCTTACATACCGAGGCAGCATAGTCAGGCATGGTGGGGGAGCAGGCAATCACATCAGCAATGTCTACTCAAGGCCAGGAATGCATTCAGAATGCTCAACAATATACGGAAGTCTTAACAGTACAGCATCAAGACCAAACTAAGGCTGTACCAGAGCTGTGTGACTCCACCCTTCTGTACGGCTCAAAATGTAGGAGAATGAAAGTAAGTTAAGTGACATAACCAAGCTATCAGTCTTCCACACAGAGAACTTAATTTAATAGAATATTCTGTTCAAACACCATCTCAAACAAAGAGTTACTTGCTCAGTGTCATCAAGAGCGCATGTAGATCATTCTCATGAGAAGGCAATGGAAATGGATCGGCCACGTGCTCAGACGAGAACCCGACAACGTACATCACACGTGTAGCCGTCCATTGGACACCAGAAGGAAAGAGAAAAAGAGGAAGACCCAAAAACACCTGACGAAGAACTGTGGAGGGAGAGTTGAAGATCCTTTAGGGTACGATGCTGAAGCTAGCCCATAGCAGGCAGCGGTGGAGGGCCTCTGCTGCTGCCCTACATGCCAGCAGGCATAAGGGCAGTAAGAAAGTATGTAAGTAAGTACACCTATGCGGAGGAAGGAACTGTGCAAGAGAAGTGTCTTGCCCAAAATTACGATGCAAGGGTAATTAATGGCCGCACTTCTAGATTGTTAGTCCTTAACCAGTTTATTGGCTGGTCAGGTTACTCATTTTGTAACGATATTGAAATCGTAATTAATGGTTTCAGAAACTCACAACATAATTATAGCACTTCTCTAGATCTTCACACTTCTGGCATGACTCTGAGGTAGTTGTCTCTTGACTTGTGTTACATTGTCTGTTGGTGCAGTCAACCCTCTGTAAAACAACAACAACAGTGTTCATCGAGGTGGCCACTCAAATCATCAATGTCGACGAATATTTCCCTTCTCATTAAATACCCAATTTTTATGTGAAAACAGATGCAGCTCACAACTGGAGATATTAATGGAACTTATTACCCAATTCAAACCTTTTCGTTTGTGATCTTGCATCTGTTTGATTCTTTCCTTAAAATGATAACTCTCTTTCGAATCAGAATCAGTGACAGCTATTAATAGACACATGTATTTACCCGTATATTGTTGGAACAATGGTCAACGCTGCCAACAGTATAACAAGTATAGTAAAACCAGCCTGGACACTGCTTGGCATAAGGCCCAACAGAGGTACCCGGCATGCATTGTTGTGAGCTGTCGCACCAACCACATCCTGGATCTTGGGAACAGGTCAAACAGCGGTGAAACTTGGTGCAATAGGAATAGGTACAGCCTCGACCCTGAGATAGAACGAAGTGTTTTATTTAGCAAGGACAAAAGAAAAAGTATTTAAACACCTAACGCTCGGTTTGATTCCTCGGCCCCTTTCCGTGTTATTCTGCGACGACTTCAACCATGAATTTTAACCAATCACAGCACGATTCTAGCAGTGCGATTGTTAGCCGTTAGATAATTTTGATTGGCTCCTAAATTGATTTAAATGTCGTTGACTTCAACAGCACTCGCAACAAAAAAGTAACGAGATTTAGTTTTATTTGAAACTAGCGCGTCGGAGACATCTCTTAAATTTCGAGCGACAAAATCATAATTTGAAACAAGTAATTTTCAGCTCGACTGAAAATTCCGGAATAATTACAAAAACACCTCGGAACTCAGCAGAAAATAACTCTGACCCGAAGCCTGTGAAAGTGGCGACGAAAAGATGTTTAAATGAACCAGCCAGCGCGACTCACCAGATAGTCTTCCGACTGTTATAATGACTGACCAATCAAAATTGTGTATTTCATTGGCTAACATTCACGCCGCTACAACATGATTGGTCTGATCACAAACGAACTCAAGTCTAAAAGTTTCGGGATGGAGGGCACGAACCAAGATTTGCACAATTAAGGTAATTTTCGTGCCAAGATAGAACAAAGCCAAGAACTGGGAATCATTACTTCAATTCTAATGTTTACACCTCAACTTATCTTACAAGATCGAGCGACATGTATTTACTAATCTTTGATTTTAAACCTACAAGAAATCCTGGTAAGCACTTGCACACGTTTGGTCCAACACATTGGCCATTGCCAGAGCAGTTGTGCATATCATTGCAGTGAAACTGAGAACAGTCACGTCCAGTCCACCCTCGGTAGCAGAAGCATGTGGCACCAACACAGTCGCCGTTGTGAAAACAGCCATTTGGACAGCGGATAACTAAAAGAGACGGGAATTTAAGAGCTACAATAGTACAACTAAAACGCACTAACGGTAAAATCGGTTTCTAACGAGTCGTGAAGTTCACTCAGTGTTCTTCTGTGATGCTCAAACTTCTATCAGAAGTACAAAAAAAATTGGACTTCTGATGATCGGGTCGATCTATTTGACTTACCAGCTGTTCTTGTGCAGACAAAAGGGTAAAGACTGTTACAGGGGACTTCTTTTTGAACTCTGTTGTGTGTCATAACTGTACACTGCGGACTAATTCGTTCGCCACCTCTCTCCTCTTCCTGTTGAAACAAAAAGTGAATGAAAACTGCGTAAAATGGTGTCCTTTTGGGCAATCAACACCTTCATCGCTCACTTTGGTGCTCTTAGGTGCCTTCCAAAAACATTTTTTGTGACATTTGGTCATCTTGCAATAAAGTTTATCTAGAGAGTATGCCACTCTTTGGTTTTAATGTAATTACATACCAAGTCATCTTTCGTTGTCACCCATATAGGCACAGGTGGTTTTCCATCTGGTCTTGATGCCTGTATCGCCATATTGATAAATTCCATATCATCTGGTATAGAAGGCGATGCCACATGTCCTCCGTAGTACTTTAAACACAAGTAAAATACAAAAGTCAAAGGATGCGAGGGCGAGAAATAATTATAGTATGAACTTGAGGCAAGAAAAACATTCCCATGTCTGAGTTTGGTCCTTAGTACAAGCGTGAATATATCACAGCTGAGACAAAACTTATCATCAGTGGCGAGGTTTCCGATTTTTAACATTAATTTTTTACTCTAGTGTTTTTGTTTCAATATTTTGTACTATGGCGAAAGCGTCATTTTGATATTTTCTTAGATTTTTACATAACCACACCAAATTGGTCTTCACCACCATGAGAAATCCCATTGCTCAGGAATTCTCTGAAGCAACCAATGGCTCAGTGAATTGCATACCTGGCAATAATCTTTGGCTTCGTTTAGAGTCCTACTTCCACTTCTTAACGCAAAGCACGTTGATTTTATGTTCCGCCAGTCAGCGGGACAGCCAACTACAAAATAATGGAACAAGAGCGGTCAGTTATAATTCATGGTAATTAGGGATCATTTGACTGTGAATTCACAAGTTTTCTTAGTTAAAAGTCACTTTTTTAGATTTTCTTTTCCATTTTGTACTCACTGGATAAGACGTTTCTCGGTGGAAGCTTTTTGAAAGGTTTGTACTCAACAGTGGCCAGTCTGTAGTCATCCTCTTTCTCGTATATTCGCGAACCAACCGAAGACTCTATTCCAACGCCCCACCAGTTTCGTGCGGCATCAATCGGATCAGTAACCGCTTGTGTCGTTGAACTAAACTCGTAATGGTTGGACGGATTCTTCAAGTTGTTGCTGTGGTATTTCATTGGTCCGTTGGACAGGATCGTTGCACCGTGGTTTCCGCCAAGTCCTTTGTTAAGATAAAAAGTGTTTAACTCGCACTTCTGTTCTTTGGACCAAACATTGGAAAGGTCGTACTCAATGGAGTGTAATCCTGAGTTGTTGTAGAAAAAGTTGTTCACGATTTCACTCTGTGTTTCAGAAAGCGTTATGGTGCTACCATGACCCAGGTTACTTCCAAACTGGTTGTCCACAATGTAAACAAAGCTGGTATTGGGTTTCACTTCTTTCCTTTCTGCTATGAGTATTGTACCGTTTGCATTATTGATTAACGTATTGCCATATATTAAGCTTCTTGGTAAGCTTGTTCCGTCGCTTCGCCCCAACTGTGCTTGAACTCCACCCAAACGGTTTTCAGAGATGAAGTTGTTGGCAAGTGTAAACTTATTGTCTTGGATGTCCAAGAAAATAGTGCTCTTTTGATGCACGTTTAATGGAGATGTAGTTGTATCAGTGATTTTACAACGCTCTGTGGTGAGTTGAGGTCGCTTATCGCTTCCATCGGACACAGATATGTAGCTTATTGCTTGATGGCTGTTGTTACTGAGTACACTGTTGAAAATGCGGTGTTCTACGGAAAAATGGTTAGATCTCAAAACACGAAATTATTCTTAAGGACAAACTGTAACCTTGAAACAACTAACAAGCAAACGAAGAAAGAAAAAGTCAGCAAAGAAATCGTTACGAAAGAAACTAGCTTGAGTCCCTGCTATAACTATGATGAATTCAAATTTTAGTACGACTATCGCGTTGACTTGGAACAAGGTACGCTGTTTAACCTTAATTTGACTCTTTCGGCATTTGACTTAACTGGACACAGGAGACAATCGAACATAACTGTCTACTAGATGGACGTACATTACATTTGAGGAAATCTACGTACATCGACTCGCTGTGCAAGCAATCTAGAGGATATGTTTGATTCTTTCCGTTCTGAGGAGGGTTTGGGTAACAAATAACCGTGATCAAAAAGGGTGCGGTAAGTTTGTGTTGTAGATGATAAGAAATTAGTTAAAGAAGTTCACCTTTATGAGAGCAGCTTCGCAGTTCTAAATTGTCAATAGTCACAAAGTTTCTTGAATAATAGCTTGTCGCATTGTAGTATTCGCCTTCAAACAACAATCTATACTCATCGACGTCGTTAGGAAGTTCAACAATCACTTTCCTCCAACTTGGTACCTCGATAGTTTTTGCTTCCCAAATTAACCTCTGTTCAGTGTTGGGATACTTTCCTGTAGAATGACACATGATGAGTCATATATATAAAAAAATAGTGACTTAGGTAAATTTTAAAATCAGTTGGACAGACAGGGTAACAAATGAGATGCTGTGGGTAAGAGCAGGCGAGGAAGCAATCGAGACTCAGTTTTTGAAGATTAGAGGTTGACAGGTCACACCTTAAGGAAACCAGCTAACAACATCACCCGACAGGCACTGCGATTGAACCCTCAGGGCAAGAGGGAGGGGGTCGTTCCTGGAGAAGGGGTTTGCAGTCTGAAATGAGGTGGATGGGCCACGCATGAAACACACTAGGAAGGCTTCCCCAGGCAGAAGCCGATGAAGAACGAAAATGGTCAATAGCCGATGCTCCAGCCGGAGCTCAGGGACAAATCATCACATAACAAAAGTTATAAATTATGGAGATAGATGTCAACACGACCCTTGACTTTCCCTGCTGTACCAGAAATCATCGTTATCTTATGCAGAGGGTTAAATTCTGCTTTATCCAGTTTAAAATGTTTCCATTTATAGCTAGTCAGCTACCTCAATACCTTGTGGACGTTAAACAGACTTTCAAGACTTTCAGTGCAAAACTAAATGGCTGAACAGAAAACAAGTCATACTTGACTTACCTGTTTGTATGTAGAGTGACAGACCAGCTCTTCCTTTTCTTACCACTCGGTAGAAGAACACAACAGAGCATAACTTGGACAGTTTTGTTATTGGAGGGCTAATGATGGCTGCGCGCCCGTCAGTGTATATATATAGTGAGTTGTCATTGCCGATCAAAAGCCGTTTTCCTGAGGAGAAAAAAAAATGTTTGCACATTGCCCACTTTTACCACTTTCTCAGTGGAACAAGTTATTGAAGCTACAAACGGAAAAAACTTATCATGAATGACATTACAGCCTTATAGTGATAATAACCAATTTGGCATAGTGTAGACATAGAGAAATTCCCGTAGTCTTCCATTTTTACATGTACTACGCAAATAGATCTGTTAACACAACTGAAAACCATAATTATTTACACTTCCTCCCTTCCCCCACGAAAAAGGAAAACCACCAACTACCGAAACACATTACTGTCAGTGGAAACTGAACAAATTAAATACTTGAGTCTTGTTTTCAAATTGGAATAAATGAGTAAAAACGCATACATTTAGCTGCCTCTTACACGGTAAAAACACGTACCGTTCGGAGAAAAGTAAGAATAGTCATTTACGGCATCTGACCATATATGCCGAGCTATTCTCCATGTTCTCGTTACGTTGAGACCTTTGATTGTTATGTTGTCAAACGTTTGCCAACCGCAAAAGTCTAACTCGAAGGTACAAGGAGCATCTGCGAGGTAACAAAATAAAGATTAGGGCGTGTAAGCCCTAAATTCAGATGAGGTTACATTTTATCATCATGAACTGACGTTTCTTTGCAAGTTTTAATCTTTAAGTATTATCAACAAAATAACGAGCGATATAGAACAGTTTTTAGTTCCGTTTCCGTAAACTCCTAACAAAATCAAAATTGGTTATTGTTTTACTGATGTATATCATATGGAGAAAAATCATAAAGAAACGTACTCACCGCTAATATTTATGTCCTCCACTTGAATAACCACTTTAGAGTCCACGTCACCATTCCACTTCAACAAAATTGTATCCCGTGGGATAAATAACTCTTTATGATCAAGAGCTGTTATGTCATTGTTTGACCTGTCCACGATCAAATTGACAGTGTGGGTGGAATCATAGACCATCAACCTCTGAGAGCCCTTGAAGTGTAACAGGGTTAACTTGATTCCTTGACCCTTGGGTACGGTTAAAACTTTCTCGCAATTTTCCGTCGCCATTGTGTTCTGTAGCCTGGGGATGTCGAAATAAAGAAGTGTTTGATTCATAACATTGACAACCTTTTCCGCATGGCATAGAAATGCTCGTCCATAATTGACTCGAGGGATGTTTTCTGCATTTGCTTCCTCAAAGGAAATACCTCTTTGGTTTCCTGATGATTCCGAACTCTCCACCAGAATGTTGCGGTGTGT